GTAGCAACATCGGTGTGGCTCAAGTGGCGGTGGCTTCGTGGTCGAATAATCAGCTGTTACTGAATTGTCTTTTTTGGCTGGAATTTTCTTGAACTTTGAGATGAACAATATAACCTAATTATTGCATTTTTCATCCCTTCGTTAATCATTTCGAACCATAATGGCCGTGTCTAGCTGTGCCATGGCTTTTCCGTCCTTCGAATGCCGTTCAGGTCCGGATTCTCTCGTCCTGAGATCCCTTCCTATGGCGAAAACGTCATTTTTTTAGTGGCGGCGACTGGGTACGGCCTTTCTTCTCCGATCTTCAGATCCCCGCCGAACTTCGTGTGGCAGCTGAGCATCAAGGCTAGAAGGAACAGTAGCAACATCGGTGTTGCTCAAGTGGCGGCGGCTTCGTGGTCCAATAATCAGTGGTTACTGAATTCTCTTTTTTGACTGGAATTTTCAAGGCTAGAAGGAACAGTAGCAACATCGGTGTGGCTCAAATGGCGGCGGCTTCGTGGTCGAGACTCACGCCGGCGACTAAGGCCGTCGATGCAGCCGCCTCTGCCGCCAGTTTATTAGGTGTCTTAAGCGATTTTTTAGAGGTTATATATTTATTAATATCATCTAATCGAAGGATAAGTGCATAAGATATAAGATATAGACCACAGATTATCTCTTTTCTTTTCTTTTTTTGTTACGTATAATACATACCATTTTCCAAAGAAAAGCAAAACTGAAAATTTAGGGTTTACTCATAAAATCCTAAGTTCTTAATCATTCATTTCACAGACGTAGAAAACTATACAAAATACACTTACATACAACATAGAGGAAGAAAAACATGAGTGAAATATTATTAGTTCCAGCTTTCTCAAAACTGAAAATACTTTTGTCTCTGAATCTCCAGCTTCAAAACCAAAACCCAGCAACATGGTTTCACAGCATATATAAGCCACCATTTCTATTGTAAATTGTTGATTACGAACCTTGGAAGTATGTCTCTTTGTTCAATAGAGAAGTATCCAAACGACCACATCCACAGAGTGTTGAAGAACCGGCGGATATGTCTCATGAAAACGTGTTCCTCTCTTTGGTAAACCCAATATAGAAATTCACCAGCTGATATCAATGCACACAGCACATACATAACAGGCCTAATGGAGTCCGGGAAGAAGATCGATGCAAGTGATGCCACTGCCGTATTGCCGAAGAACACCATACAATGGAAAGGGTATGTTGGTGGGTTATCATGCATATCAGTCCTCAAATTTTCTCCATATGCCAAAATAATATACATCAACAAACTAAAAATTGCCATATTCATTGTTTTGGAGTGAGTTATGAATGGATTTTTGTCTATTCCCTGAAACTTAACCTACAAGAAAGCAAGCAATGCAGGAATAATGAACTTGACGCTTTTACCGTTGGAAGTCATTATAAATCCTCTATGAAAGATATGCAAAATGTGGATCTCATAAAAACGTCTGTGGCAGCACAAAATTGTGCCCAGGTGAAGTTGACAGAAGGGATTTCCATTGTAGTACGCGCCATCGGATCTTCAAATCCTGTAAGAAAAGATAAAAGGTTTAGGCAATTACCACCAATGGATCATATTATATACTCTCAGATATACGGATCTGTGTAAAAATTTGTTTGTGATTTGGCAAGTTTACTTTTGGTTATATTTTATCTTTTTATTGTCGAGGACAAAAATTATGTTTTTATTCCTAAATTTTGTACCCCGTTTCTTATACATGATTATAATACTACATAATCATCAATATTTATCTTATAGTTTCACTCCTCTTTCATGATTATTTGCAGAATAACTATCTCATTGACTTGTTCTTGCAATATTAATGTTTCTATCATTCTTGCTATAACTCTTCTATCAAGACTTTACAAATATTGGACACGGACTATCGAAAGGGACGACGTGAACGAGGAAGCTTCGTAAAAGGGAATGCCATTGCAAAGTGGCCCACTAGAATGCGTGTCGAACTTTGATCATATTTTCCAATTGTCTTCAATTTTCAAATCTCTTATATTTTTTTGAGGTAATCAAGTGATGAATTGGCCATCTAATTTGATAAATTTGGTGATCATTCGAATTTTTTTTTTTAAATCTAATGGTCATTTGAATAACGTTTTGATAAGTTTGATGACCATTTGAAAAAATTTTTAAATTTAATGGTCAATAAATAATAATTTGATAAGTTCACTAATCTTTCGAAACTTTTAAAGTTTAAAAATCAATGAAAAACATTATGTAATATTCAATGTCCATCTAGTTTTTTAAATCTAAAACTTCCTTCACTAACTCTCGTATTGTCAAAAAACATTTTTTTTTCCATTCTCTCATAAAGGTCTTCGTTGATTTTGCCCAAAATCTTGTTGGGTTGTGTGCCTAATGGTATAGTTTTGCATATGTAAAAAATAACAATATTTTTATATTAAATAAAATTATTTTATTTTATTTATTATTGAGCATGCGAATTAAAGTGCATATGA